TTATTTTTCAGATTTCCTCAGCAGCAGCACACCAGTTTTGGCCATCTATTTCTGTTCTCCTTGAGTCAATAGTAGGATTTGGTCAGTCAGGAACAGGATTGAGCTGTTATCTTAAGATCCAAAGCAAACAAGAGACCCAGCCCTGAAGCACAGGATGAAAGCTACCTAAAATATGGCCCTGGAGCTCCAACATGTGCTGCTCTCCCCATTTCCCTGCAAAGAAGGACACCTGGAATGGGATGCCATTGCCTAAATGTAGACATCTAATACCATCTGATGCTCTCCTGAGTATCCAATACTCCTTCTCTGGGGCTGGGCGGCGGAATATGAGACCTGCAGGATGTGTGCACGCTGTAGATGGGCAGCTGAGGGGCAGGCAGAACTTACTGGGGCATCTGGATTGCACTTCTATCCTAGAAGAGTCTCCAAGCTTGTCCTTGGTGTGATCTTGCTGTGCCAGGAACCAAATGCAGAACCAGATGCTCGTTCCCAGGCTGTGAGCTTTGTTCTGGCCAGCAAGCTTTGTTCATCTGCCTTCCAAAGAAAGTCATTCCTTGAGGCCCTCCAAACTGACCTAATGTTGGCAATAAAGGAGAAAGACTCAAACCTCGTGTGATTTGTCCAGTGCATCCAGCTCTGTTTTTCAAGCATTTGGGTGTTAATGTGGAGACAGGACAGCCCTTGCTGTTGTGGTACGGGGCATCCCTGGCTGGGAGCCTCATTTAGTAGCTGCCTGCTGTGATGAGTCTTAAAAGTAGTGACCGATGCTCCATCCGGCCCTGCTCAAACCCTCTCACTGGGATGACCTTTGGGATTTGGTGCCACCGAGGGCCTGTTTGCAAGCCATCGAGCAGGAGGAGCAAAGGGCAGCAGCTGTCTAATGGACAATATTTAAAAGTCATGGACAATATTTAAGTCACCATGGGCAGTTATTGGGGAGAGAGTTGGCCATCAGTGCTCCCTGGAGACAGGAGTCCTTGGAAGGACCATTCCTGAAAGGTTTGTGCAGTAGGAAAGCAGTGCCAGACCTTCCAACAGCCGTGACCTCTGCGTGCTGAGGCTCTCAAGTGATTAAATCTAGCAGGAACGTCGTGATGGCAGAAGTATCTGGTGATGAGGCCGGGGTGAGAGAGATTGCATCCGTGGCATGTCTGCCCTTAACATTTCCCCTTTCTCCAGAGGGTGAGCATGGCTGAACTCTGATGGAGGGCAGGTAGCAGTACCAATATCAGCACGGCTTTGCCCTCTTACTGCCTTGCAGGTTTGGAGTGAGGTTTCCCTGCATGTCAGATGCTTACGAACAAGATCTGCTTGGCCTGGCGATGGAGAGCGCACAGGAGCTGGGCTTCCTGAGCTTCATCCGAGAAGGGGTGTACTGTCTGCTGACTGGTCCCTCCTATGAAACCATTGCGGAGTGCCGCGTGCTGCAGGCACTGGGTGCGGATGCCGTAGGTAAGCTGCATGGGCTGGGCTGGTAGGGTTGGTTGGACATGCGGATTAAACAGTTAATTTTGCTCACGGCTGGCATTCTTCAGTCTGTGACTCTCTAAGTCTCCTGGGCCTGGAGAAACCAGCTCTGTGTATTCCTGCGTAGGTCTGCAGCGCCTTAGCGCAGCTCCTAGGATGGATCTGCAGAAAGTCTCTCTGCTTATGGCTGCCCAGGACAGGGATCCCAGTACAATTTTGGGTTTAATTCTCAGACGCATCCCCCGTGCTCTAATGGCTCGACTCCAGCAGGACTGAGTGACCCCCCCATCAGAAATCAAGTCTTTTTTTTTTTTTTTTTAATTTCTGGCCCTGTAATGATTTTTACTGTGCCTCTTCCCTACAAAGCAGCCTTCAAAAAAGTCTTGGTTGTTTAAGGATGGTAATTATGGCTACCTTCCCAACTGCATACAAGGAAGGTAAGCGTTATTGTCTGTATCATTCCTCCAGCTTGACCCCAGGTCGTTGAAGCATCTCATGGCAATCTGTTCGTTAATATCTGCAGATTCATTGTGTGTGAGGGAAGGAGCTCAGCTCACACAAAGCTCTTTTTCTTTGCAATGGCTTTTTTAGCCGAGGAAGAGAAAAGCCAAATGACACAGCACATCAGTACTTCTCCTAGCAGGGCTGCAAGCAGTCTGACATGTCTTGGGGAGAGGGACATAGGAATCGAATGTGGGTGGGTTATTGTGCTGAGCAGGGTTGTAACTGGAGTGCTACAACCATTGCAGCCTTATGACTATCGCAGCCTTTAACTCTTACGTACCTGAGAAGTGGAGAGCTGTGGGGAAATGAGACAAGGGCATGCGCAGAAGGCAGGATCGTGGCTTGCAGCCTTGGAGAGATCTTGTTTTGGTGTAAATCCTGACTCCTCCTGCTCTTTTCCTCTCCTACCATAGGCATGAGCACCGTCCCAGAAGTAATTGTAGCCAGGCATTGTGGCCTCCGAGTCCTTGGGATCTCCCTCATCACCAACAAAGTGGTGACGAGCTACAACAGTCAAGAGAAAGCCAACCATGAGGAAGTGCTGCGTGTCTCGGTGGTCCGGGCTGAAGCCCTGCAGAAACTAGTCACACATCTCCTTGGCAAGCTGGGGGAAAGCACAAACTCTCCGTGACCTCCAGCCATTTATCATTCATACCGTAATGTGTGAACACGAGCAAGTGCTGGGGGAGAGCTGTTGGTGAGACTGTCCTTCTACTGTCCTGATTTTGAATAGACCCTTTCATCTTTGTCCCTGGTTTTTAGCTGGTCAGGTGCAGAGGTTTGCTTTGAATTTTGCTGGAATGATCCCCTTGTTAGTAGCCAGTGACCAAAACGGCTTTCTGGCAGGTTCCCAAACCGGTATGTCAGCAATGAGCCCCTCTGTACGGTGGGCTCCAGCTCCCCCTCCTCCTGCTGCAGAGCGTTCAGTGTTTCTCACTCATGGTGCTGCACCCTCCTGCCCGGGGTCTCTGCTCCCCCATCGCCGTGAGCCGGGTCAAGAACTGGTCGCAGGGCTTGGTGTCTGCTGGGCATGCTTTGGGAGGGCCTCATCTGAAGCCGGTGGAAGTCCACAAAAAGACTCTGGGTTTTGGATGAGGACCTGAGATTGCAATTGATTTTACAGCTTGGAAAACCACTGCATCCCCGTGCACGGGGTCGGGTTCCCTTACCCATCCCCAAAGGTCTCCCCAGAAAGCCCTCTCCTTGCTCACTTCTCGGCTCTTTATGACCAGCTGCAGAGCTTGGTGGCTGTTTGCTAAAATGCAGCGTGCCCCCAAGAACCCCTCGCACCTCCCCGCTCCGTTTCCAGCCTTGAATTGCTGTCGCCCTGTTTTACAGGGGAGCGAAAGCGCAGCTTCCATGCACAGTGGCCAAAACAGTGGCCAAGCTGGAAGCAGGATCCAGGTCCCGCTCTGCCTGGTTTTGTTAATTCTGTCTCTGGATGTCCGAGATCAGCAGCTTGAGCCACTTGCGCTGGGGATTGGTTACCTTTTGGTGGCCCAAGACAGAGAGATCGTAGTTTGACCCCATCGTTTCACCCCAGCTTTGCTCTGCTGCAATCCCTGCAGCAGATGTTGGAGCACCAATGGTTTGTAGAGTTTAGTGATGTGAAATTACAGTGGCAATTATTTTGGAACACACATGATATTTTTCTGACTTTCCTGGTCGTCTTACACGAAGAAACTGAGCCTAGCAGTGAGCAAAGGACAAGCAAGAGAGGCCACCACGTGGCTTCTACCAGCGTGCGGATGGCCTATCGTGGAAGGATGACTGTTCACCACAACGGTGCATTATTCATTGTTGCCCAAAGGTCAAGCTGAGCTGTGGATGCAGCTGGATGCGATACAGTGACTGTAATTATTAGGTAACCTTTTCCCTTCACTTATCTTGGAGTTCTCTATAAAGCTCATAGCTGTCACAGCTAAATGTTTTCGGCTGACACAGTGGTCTGAACCAAAGACACCCAACCGGTCATGGAGAGCTCCCAATCTGCCTTCCTAAATTTAGCTGATCAATTGTTTCCCGTTGCTGCTCACCCTCTGTCGCAGCCTTCAGCCTTCTGTGACATTTCTTCAGCTCCGGGCGCAAAAGGATGTTGTGGCCTGATGAGGTTTTTTTTTCTGGATGGGTATTTGCTTGAAGCCCTTCGTGCTGCAATTACTGGTGTCAACTGCTGTGTTATTAACCGTGCAGATGTTGCCGCCACCACCAGTTGTGCTGTGTGTGTTTTCTGCAAAACGGTAGCACTTCAGGTGTAGGAGGGGTCCTGGGGTGGACACCCCATCCTCCCCACTCTTCTCCTGGGCAGGGTTATCTGCGGTTAGTCCTGACAAACATCTGCCCAGCCTGGTCTTGAGGACTTCTGGAGGGGGAGGTTCATTGCCTGCGCTCTGCCGGTTGAGTTGCTCCTTCAGCAGCTCCTGGCACTTGGAGGAGCCCTCTGAGACAGCAGCTCTTTCCACTTGGTGGGTCTGACTGTCGAGACAGTCTCGGGCACCGGCTCTGGTGGCGATATGCAAAGGGAGAGAGACTCCAGCTCCTCCTTCCACAAGGCTGTTGCCTTTTCAGGTCTAGCAGGAGTGAAGTGCTTATCAACGGTGGCAGCAAAAGCAGTGAAATATGAAAAGCGGCAGCTGTGCAGAGCAAGAAGGAACCACTTCTACCTGCTCCCTTTTCAGACTTGTCCCAATGCGGGCTTGTTACAGGGCAGAGAGAGAGCGAGTGGATAATTTCCCCTGCCTAGAAAATGGTGCTTCACATTCATCTAATTAATACTTGGTAAATACAAAGTCTCTCAAGTGTGAGTGGAAGACAGCTGCGCAGCTCACTGTAGCTCGAGAGCAGCCGGAATAGCGAAGGCCGTGATTTCGGCAGACTCCGTTAATTAATCGGAGCCAGGCTGGATTGCCACGGGAAGGGAAGCATCCCCAAAACCCCACCAATGCGCCGGTGCTTCTCCAAGCCAGGCTGGAGACAAGGAGGAGCGCGGCAGCAGCGCCCGGGTGTGTTCCTCCCCAGCGGTACTGGAGGCAGAACATCAGACCTGTACCACGCTGAATACGTCTGCAACTTAAATTTTGATCTGAAAAAAAAAAAAATCTACCGCGTGACTAAATGTTTGGCAAATTATGCCCGTTTTTAAAGAAATAATTTCTAAATAGCATTCGAGCCCTCTAACAGTTGGGGGCTCTTCCTTCTGCTGCCCCGGGGTTGACCTGGATGACTTGAACTCTGTGTGAACATCCTGATTTTTGTCCCTGTGTATGATGAGAGGATGGGGGAGGGGGGAAATGCCTTCAGGACTTTGGAAGGGATCTTGCTCGTGCTTTGGGGGAGAGTGGGGGAATACAGCTAATGAGTGGATTTGTCTGATTTTGGAGGTACTTTTAATCCAACATATTTCTTTTCTGTTGCTGGTGATTTTCAAAAGGCTGAAATACAATGGTGCAACGGGGGGGGAGGAGATGGGGGGAGAAACTGGGAGGAAATAAAACCTGCTGTGATCTGGAAAACAGTGTTTCTGTTTGCTGTGCCACTTAGAAAGGAGGGTGTCGCTCAGCTGTACCCTCAGCTTCCACCCCCCCAGGCTGGAGGACAGCCCTGGGGGACCGGAGCTCGGCATGATCAGGACCAACCCTTGACCAGAGCTTTGCACAGGTATTTCTCGCTGATCCCACTGGGCTGGGGAACCCTCCCATGAGGAGAAAAAAAAAAAAAAAAAAAAAAAAACCCAAGAACCAAAGGACCTCAACTAACTTCCGAGCAGCTGAAAGGTGTGATGGGCTGTGGAGGTATCGGTGCAGCAAGTCATCTGCACCAGAGGCGGGACACGGTCTCCTTGCCCAGACCATCCTGTGGGACACAGCTGTCCCACACTGCAATGCCTGTGGCGGTGGGATCCATCCTTTACTCCCTCCCAGCCCTGGTTTCATGAACCAGTCTGGCCCGTCCCTTGTGCCAGCCCTGGCCTTTTCCTTCATCAGCACTCCAGAGGGATTTTTTCAGCTCGTGGGTTCCTGCTGCTTCCAGTCCCCTGGAGAAGATGGAGATGTTGCAGCGATGCCCTCATGAGTGATTCACATGAAAGCCTGATGGCGAGAGGAGAAATCTCTGATACAACCCTTGCCCCGACCATACCGTGAGGTTTTTAAGCGATGTCTGCTGTCATCTGAGAAACAACCCCACAACCTCCCCAAATGAACCTGATCGTGTGCTCCATCCTCTCTGCTTTACAAGACTCGCTTTCCCAGACTCACTCTTTTAAATGAGAGTCACCATTTGCACTTTTTTTTCGACATAAAAGTAAACCAAAAAGCTTTTTTTAAAACAAAACAAAAACAAATACTATCTGTCTCAGCTCAGCAGCGGAATGTACACTTTGCCTTCAAGTTATTAAAATTCCTTTAGATGTTTCTCTTTACTGAAAACCTGCAGTCGAAGGGAGTGATTTCTGCTATGGAGGTGGTGGGTTTTTTTCCCCCAAAAAAGCTTTTAGAATTTTGTATGCTGGAAAGAATTAAACTCTTCCCTGCCAGGCTGAATATGCAGAGCGAGGGAGAGTGGTGCGGGTCATGGCAGTGGGCGGATCTCAGTTTAATGCCGAATTAAATCCTGACTCTGTAAGCAGCGTGGTGGTCTGTTATTTCCAAAATCTGATGGCACATTCAGAGAGGAGTTGGTTTAACAGCCGGGACATGGGTGAAGGCTGGAAGGGACCATCCAGCCTCTCCTCCTGCAGAGGGGACATTCTTTCTCCTGCTATGCCCGGAGCCTGGACACCCGTGCTGGGGGATGGCTTTACACAGAACAACCACCCCGACACTCCACAGCCTGCTCTCCAAAATTCTCATTCTCCATCTTAGCAAACCCCTTCCTGGAGTGAGGAGCCCTTCTTGCCCCTCTGGGTGCTTCGCAGAGGAAGTGTTTCCCCAGGGATGGCAGGGAGCGGATTCAGGGCGCTGCCGGAGCCCAAATTTTCCTCCTGGGTGCCAACTTGGAGCATCGCTGGGTCTTGGTCAGCGGTGAGGTGGGTGTCCTGGAGCGGTGTGACTGCGCTGGGCTGCTGACCTGGGGCTGTCCTGGCTAGGGCTTCGCTCCCCCCGGAGCGGGTGATGGACCAGCGCTGGAGACCCAATGTTCCCCTGTGCCCCTTCTTCCCCCCACCCCAGCCCGGGGACACATCCCCAAACCCACTCTGTGTTCGTGCTCAGCCCCCAGGGAAAACGTTGCTCTGGAGGGAGATGGAAAAGCAATGCGTTCTTTTAGGGAAAATTGTGCTCCAATAATGGGGAAAAGATGCTTTTTGGGGACTCCTCTCCATGCCAGACCCGAGGAAACATGAATTGAATGCCTGGGACACCCCTCGGTGTCTCCGGGTGTGCTTGAAGGCTGCGCTGTGCAGCAGAGAGGAGGAGAAGGGCACCCACTGCTCTGTGTCCCACCCCATGGGAAGGTGGCGCAGCATCTCCCTTCCTGTGCCCGGAGTCTGGCATCCTGCCCTGCCCCAGCTCCCCACGGCGTTAAAGCCAGGCTGAGGTCATCTCCCGGTCCCCAGGCCTGCTCCCAAAAGGGCTGTGGGCTCTGTCATTTTGGGGGGGGGAAGCATCTCATAGCCCCCTTTTCTTCCAGCTGAGAGACAAACAACCGGAGGCACCAGCACCCGGCAGGATGGGCAGTCCCCCCGATAACTCCCCGCAGCCACCCGCCACCGATTACGTCCCTGCTCTGCGCACGTCTGAACTTTCCTGCTTTCTTCTCATCTTTAATTAAGCACTTCTATCGGCCGAGCCTTCTCACTGGAGCTGAATTATATGATTTTTTCCCCCCCCCGTAGCCATGGCAACGCTTCCCCTGGGCAG